AGGTTCTAGTCCCCCTATTTAACACTTATTTACTGTCAATATTTAAACAGGTGCTTTAAGAAGGGAGAGTTGTCTGGGCTGGCTGAGCTGACGACCGAATCAATGGTTTGGCTGCAATAACATTTTATTGACAGCGATCAAACACGTTTCAACGATAAGCGTAGGAATGTTGAACCGGGTAATTATTCCCCCACAATACATCGTCCACTCAATTTTTATGACTTGTCAATATATCAAACTCAATCCACAGCCCACGTAGTGCTCTGAGCATTTGTACTGCTACCATATATGAATTATACATGTAGTATTAAAGAGAAGGTTGAGTTCTGGGAAGAGGTGAAAAATAATTTGGGAGTATTACTCATTCTTATTATGCAAGTGTGGAAGAACATCAGATATTAGACATGTTCCCTGAAAAGCATGGCTCTTCAAATGCCTTCATATTCTAAATATGCATGTAACATCGTAAAAATCGGGGGGGGGGGGGGGGGGGGGGGGCGGCTTTTTACGCCACGTGTTCGTGTAGTCCCATATACATCTTTCTGTGTACAGTGTTTGTAACTTTACCAAGACTTGGCCAAATTTCTTATCATTTTGATGATTCCAGAACCTTGCAATACACACAAATACTTATATGCTAGATGATCAACCTTTTCTGGTCAGTTCCACACCGTTTCTTTCACAATGCAATCGCATGACCAGAACTCAACTTCATCTTTAAGGCCTATATTCTAAAACTAGACATTATGATGTTGGTATGTCGACTTCATCTCACAAGAAGTAATAATATGAGACATCAGAAGGCTGCTACCGTAATTTCATTTGAATCGGAATCAGAAAAGAAACCATAATTTTAAATAATGAGTAAAAGTGCATTACCTTAACCAAAAATCAGCAGATGTATGAGATTTATTGTATTATTACCAACACTCCTTCTCTCCCCCTTTCCTTTTCTTCTCTGCAAGTCACTCTTTTTCATTTTTATTTGTATTGTTGTATCTAAGTTGAGGGCTGCCGGCATGTCAAGCTACTTTGCTTATTTCTGTAGCCCTCCTGCATCTAATGTATGTTAATTATGCATTCAATATATTTGTTTAAATTCAATATATTTGTTTAATATCGTTTATTATCTGTATAAAATTATATACACTTCATGAAAATGTATGATGAAAAAAAAAAAAAAGATGCAGAAAATAATAATAATAATAATAATTGGATTTATATAGCGTTTTTTCCAAAGGTTACAAGGCGCTGCTCTCCTAGACTTTCGACAAGAAACCAATAAATCAAATCAAATCAAATCAAATCAAAATACTTAAATTGTTGAAAATTATGATACAGCTGTGTCATACATATTCTTAGTCTTAATCAAATAATCCCAGGCAATTATGTGCTAGATTATAAATTTCAGGAATGATATTTTATATTTTGGAGCCTATATGTACTTGAATGAAATCTGAAACAGGGTTACTTTTCTATGAGGTTCAATTTCTACAAGAAGTAATTATATCATCAAATATTGATCTAGATTTGCACATATGAGCATGCCATTCAAAGGTTCTACCTTGACCATATCCAGAAAGGGGTCCACTGGAACACAAACAAATTTCATACAGGATTAACTATTGACCAATTGAACCGAGGCCTATTATTCATGCAGGATGGGTGTGTTAATTTCAATGCTCCAATGGTGAATTACGACAAGAATGAAATAAACTCCCTCCAACTCAATTGTACATCTGAGTTGAAAAACAACAGAAATATGACGCCTTGACTGACAGTTCTGTTTGTCCATACTACTGGACCATGAAATATTGTTTTATTTGTCGAGCAAAGTGTGGGTTCAATGAGTATTTGTTATTTACTTTGTCATAAAGATCATGAGACGTGATACTATTCAGAGTCACTTTCACGATCCATTGCACGGCTATGTAGAGATCATTCTCCCATAGTATCAATGCTTTGTTGTTACTATGAATCAAGATATATTATAAAAATAACCTCTGTTTTATTGCAGAATAGAAGTTCAAAAGGGCAAAACCTATTACTGACATCACTGATTTTAATTGCTGATGAGATAAAATCTTATTCCAAGTATTTGGTAAGTATTTAGATACATTAATATACAGTATTATTCTTTCAGGATAAATATTGACTTTACACAAGAAAGAATAATTTCTACATGAGAAGTCCCTATTTATCAAATTTAGTGCAAATGAGATAGAAAATCAGATTACAATCAATAGTCTTTTTTCAAAGCTATAGACTATGACTGGTCAAATTTACGAATAGATATATATCTTTTTTGTTGTTGTTTGAAGTCTGCCTAGATTTCTTCCTAATCCCCTAACTTACGAAGTCATAAAAGTGGATATTTTTCCAATCACACAAAATTGTGACCTTGTACAAAGCAGTGCCAAAGAAATGTCATGATTTGTGAATTCTAAAAATAAATCCCAATTCGGTTGGCACCCAATTGAGAGGTAAAGTATGCTGGTATTTGTACCTGTCATAAAAGATGCAGGAATTTACCAATGTATCCCTCTAATTAAAATGACAGAGAAAATAGAGTTTTAGATTTTTTTTCCCTTCTGTTTGCTACTAGTATTCAGTGGGAAATTTTGATGATCAGATGTATTCAATATTAAGTGCATGCCTCAGAATTTGGTGAATTGTAAAACAAAGCTAACAAAACGATACTGCCAACGTTTAATTTTTTTAAATTTTTATAGTGACCCAATAATTTACATTGTAGAAGGAAAAGGTATTGATATTACTCAAAGCAAATTTTCAAAGAAAACCAACCTATTGAGAAAATCATTCTAACCTTATTCTAAATATCTGTATTATATTTCATAGCTTTGACAAAATATATCATAGGTATATTTTGTCAAATATATCATAGGTATAGTTTTTTAAAAGGACACCAATTAAAATAAAATTTAAAAATCTAGGTCACTTTTATGACTTCTTATTGATTGGGACCAGCTAATGATTTGATTATGTAGATAACATCAGCTAAATCCTATTAATGAAGGGTTGCCAAAAGCTGTTTTAATTCATCTCTAAAAGGTGCTAATTTGAATTTAAAGAAACTAACTTTCTTCCCTGTCAGGCAGTTATATGCCTTCCTGTACTACTCTTAATTCTGTAATGATTTCTAACTTTATAAAACCCATGATAAACAATATTTGTTTCTATATTTTCCATACATGTATATTACACATAAAAATGCAACACAAAAAATCCCCAATTGTAACACATATAATGGAAATGAGGGGTGTTTCTATAGGCAGACTTGAAATCCAGTAGTGAATTATTCATGTAGTGCACACAATAAAAATCTCTACCCTAGCACACAACCATTAAAAAGATAGAATGTTTGAAGGAGGTAAAAATAAATTAACGACTTGCATTTCAGTAGTGAATCCTTCACATCAATACACACCCCAAAATCTTCACCCCTGCCCACAATGTAAAATCTGTGCATTATTTGAAGGAGAGAAAAAAAAATCTGCTTCCCATCAAAATGGGGTCAATTATGCAGCGCACATTTTCAGCTGAACATTACATCTCGATCAAATGCACAAACATACGGCAAGCCGCCGCCGCCCCCTGCCCCGTCGGTACAATGGTAATTTCCACGAGCCCTTGAGGGGATGTATGTATGTATGGGGGAGAGGGGGGTTAGCTTACACCATTCAGCCCCATGTGGCAGCTGCGGCTATTGAAAAGTCACAAAAGCAGCTCTGCTGTGCGTCAGCCTGCGTTCATAACATTGCATTGAAGTGCTTTCAATAAAGTGTTACACCTATTATCATTTCAAAAGGAGCTCGCTCATGGAATACACCTTTTTTCCAGCTGCTGCGTTTCCCTTTGCCACCTCGTTCCTTCTTTCATTTGTTTCCTCAATTTTCTTTTTTTTTTCTTCCTCAAGCTTTTTGGGATAAAGGGAATTGATTTCTTACTTTATATGATAGAATGATGACTATATCAATGGAGTATAATATCCAAGTGTAACATATTCATTAAATATAATGTAGCTGTCATTTCCCTATCACACACATATAACCACGCAATTCATAACACAGGCTGATAATACTACACAACCACCGAAGTACTCTTTTCATCATTGTGAAATGATTGTGAAATCATAGCAAATTCTCGAGCACACCTATTCTTAATTCAACACAACACAATTTTGATTCATTACGATCAATTCAAAACCATACAGATTACATACAGATGATATAAAGCACCGGTGATCGACTATTTCTAGATGCTCAAAAGATGGCGCTATTCACTTTCATAGGGGTAGAGTATACAAGGGGAATTGTACACACAGTTTCTCTCAGTGCCATAAATGCCTGCAGCTTTAGAGTTTGAAATCGGTGGTTTGGCAACCAAAATGCTTAGAAAGTACAAATTAGTTGCGTGACATGGGCAACTAAAAGTGTGATGAGTAAGTTCACTAGAGTGAGTGCAAATTTGAGAAATTTGACTATAATTGCTACGATACGTACAATTTGTGAAATATTTGTAGCTGCTCCCTGCTCAGGGCCAGAGCAAAGCTCAATACCGTACATAGATTTAATAACAACATTACATTACATGGCATGGCCTTTCTAGATCTAATAGATGGTATGGCTTTTCTTCATCATAATATAAGTGCAGCTTCTCCTCCTAAACACACACATAAACACACAAGCACACACCCAAATACAGAAATCTGATTATAACATTATCAAACCAGAGGGACAGCAATAAAAATCTATTTTTTTTTTCATTAGTGGGGAAGCATTATTCATTTAAGTTTTCATTTAATTTTCAAGTTGATAGTTTTTATTCTGATATTATATGAAAACCTTATCACAACACTCACAAAGTAAATGAGCAAGCATGCAGTAACACACTCATATCTACACTGTACCTGTTTAGCAGGATATGTATGATTCCCTTTTTTTGAATTCCAATGAAAAAGAAATTATATTTGTACTTACTCAGGCTTTTTGGCAGTTATTGAGTTTCCTTTCTTTGTCTTTTCAGCCAGCTTCTTCTTGTTTTCTTTCCGCTTTTCCCTCTTTGCTTTGGCTTCATCATACTCTTCACATTCTGGGGAGAAATATCACAAATGTGTTATGAATAAAGAAATATTGAAGCAATGGTCACTTGGACCAGGGAGGTGAAAGAAAAGGAGACGAAACTCTTGTAATTTATTCAAACGCATTCTTGAGTTCTAAAGCATAACAATGGGATGTGTAACATTCCACTTGGCTTTGAAGTTCCATGCTCAGAACCGCGCTTCCACTGCGAAGACTTTCGGAAGCCTGGCACCAGTTTTACATTTATTACAAAATATTAAATTACCGGCAAAATTTCAGTGTAAATCAAAAACTTTATATGGGGATTTTATTGGGAATAGTACATCAAACAAATTTTCAAATTTAGAACTCCATCCTTCCTTTCATTTGTGTGCCAGAGTTGGTAAGAGAAAAATTACATCTTGTCAAAAACTCAATATTTTAGGATGATGCGCTAATTTGTGCATGCTTTAATGTCCCGTTATTTGATCCATGATTTACAATCTTCATTAACATTAAGTTTGCTAATGCGTGTTTTCGCGTGTTTTTTTGTATTTTTCAAGTTTAAAAAAGGATGAAATTACACAAGTTTGTGTTCGCTTGTTCTACTCTTTACACATTCAACAATAGATGAGAAATCATTGGAAGGGACAGCGAACAGTTGCTGTGATACCATTTTCTGATGTAGGAATTCTAAATCCTGAAATGTCATACGCTCTCTTATCTCACCACCTGGTCAACAGTTGAAGATTAGCGCATAACTTTTCGGCGGCTTGGAGCATGGGGTCAAAGGAGAGCGGCTTGATTCCAGTCCTTCTCTATCACGTCCCTGCTTGGACTAAGAGTACCATACTCTCTTTCTCCCCTTTTCTCTTCCTACTTATAACTCCTTCCTGCGCTTCAATACAATGTACTAACTACTATATAAATGTTATATCTTATCATTAACATTATCCTACAACTTTTCATGTTTCAACATGAGTTATCTTTACACTCCAAACAATCTCACTAGTTTGAATTGGTTCATTCCTAATTTTTGAACATCAAGCTAACTGCAAGTTTTGCTTTTTTTGGAGCAAAGTCAGAAGCAAATGCTAGAATCAATGAAATATAATTAATTTCCTTTTCCTGGTTCACTTGAAAATAAAAAATTATTTTCCTTAATTTGTCATATAAATTTACTTCTTAAAGCTGTCGACTTCAAGCGAATATATTTGAGAAATGTTTCCACCTTACAGACAGGAACTTTCTACCTGTATTTCCTCAGTGTAATACTTGATGATAGCATTGTCCTTTAAAGGCATCGTTTAACAATGTTAAATCTGAGATGCACGGCCCTATGTGTTATCAGTGTTTGTGGTATGGTGCAGTATTAAAGCCCTACAAAAAATAGCGCTTCAAAATGATCAAGAAGTGCCTCAAAAAAGTAAAAATCTTTGAGTGACCAGTTTTACCATACTCGTTTTCCCCAATAGACTGTATTGTTATGAAAAACGTTAGGAAAACGCAAAATTTGGTTTCGATTTCCAATCATAAATATCTTGATAATCAGACGAGCGATCGACTTGTAAAAGTCATGGGGTTCCTGACTGACTTAAAGGTTTATCATTGCAGCTTGAGTAAATCCAGGATTTTGTTTCAGAATCTGAGACAAAGTTACCAAATCCCTTCAATAAAGATGTATACATATATGCAGAGACCACCTGCTCATACAAGAACATTTGTTTCCCCCTTGAGTGGTCTTTACACAACCAATTTAACTATGAATTTTCAAGCAAAGCGATTCCCTGGAGGAACAAAAAACCTGAAGCAAAAACATTACAATTATCAACAGCTCACAGACATCTCTTCTGGATCATAAATGAAAGAAGAACCACCATGTTTTTTCCACTCTTAATGATGTCCGATATAAACCCAAGTTGTAACTTACCTTTTAATTTTGTGATTCCATTTCTTCTACACCTGACTAGTTCCTTAATTCTTGATTTAACTTCTTTCTCCTCTGCAAAGTAAACAAGTCGATACAAGTACAACACACATTAACTAGATGTCAGAGATGGGAGTGAAGGCGTTCATCATTTAGGGTCACAAAACGTAGGCAACTTAGTTCACAGTTTGCATACAAACAGTTCATTGCAAATGTATTACAGTGATCCTATGTCTTCGCACCCATATCCTACCTTAAAATTGAATAGAAATCTGTTGTGATTCTTGAAAAATCTATTGCTACATCTAGCATTCTAAAGGTTCTTCAATTATTTACATAAGCCATGTGAATCTTAAATTACAACTCTTTGGCTAAGTTACTTTGACATAGGAATAAGTGTTTCTTTATGGAATAAGTTGAGAGGTTGTACATTATTAAGAAACTATGACTCCATTATGACCAAGTGAGTGCAGTTATCTCTCCTTCTAGTGCTTTTTTTTTTACATTGGGAATCAACCTACGCCAATGTTCTGTATATTGATAATTGTAATTAATAATAATTAAAGATGGTTTCCTACTCCATTCTTTCAAACTTTTCAGATATGAGCTTTGTCTTTGTCTTCCCCTCTTTCCCTCTTTATTTTCAGTCAAAGTCAATTTCTCTATTCAAATAAGTTTTTTACGTCTTGTTGAATTTTGCTCTGATCAAAATATTTTCATTTGATGTACGACTTGTCTGACTTGGATCATCCTTCTCAGGAACCACATCTCCACTTATCTAGTCATGGAACCTAAAAAGAGAGTGTATGTAGGTGTAGTACTTACTCTGTACATTATCAAACATTTCTTCAAGGTCTGTTGAGGGGATGAATCGAGCTAACGGTCTCAGCTTCTCCCGGAACTCTAGCTCCTCCTTGGAAGGCTTACGTTTAGGAGCTGAAACAGAACGAAAAATGATGGGAAAATTGTTTTGAATTAAGTTCTAAATTTGAAACAGTATTTCATGACCACATTTGTACTGCTACAAATGAATACTTAGGTGTTGGAAAAAGTCATTGAGAATAGAAATAATACATATTTGCCAAATTTTACTATACTTTTATACCAAAATCTCTACATTTTGAGAAGTCACATTGACAAGAGTGATTTTTAATGGGGAACCTCCCTCCATTCCCACTCATAATTTAAAAATTTGGGTCACAGAGGGGTTGATCAATAATGAATAATTAAATTGCTTTTAAGTTTACAGCTTATACTAATGAATCTCAGATATAAGAACAATTTAACATTATCACAAAGGTGGAATGCTGTTCAGTGCTCCCCCTTGAGAAACTAGAAATAGCAGATCCATGAAAGTGTTAAAATATAATCTAAAAATTCATCTGTTTGATATAACCTACAATCAATCATTCTCATTATTTTATATGTTCTATCCTACCCAATTAACAGCTATGTTACTGTGCTTTTATGTGGTATCATCTTTTGCACTAATGTGCATTGGGCATTTAATTACAGCCACAGCCTTATCAAGTGAGTATACTGGTTTACTATGCTTACTTGCTACTTTTTGTTTCTGCGCTGATGAAGGCGTGGGTGGGCAGAGTGGAACTGGGGATGCGGTTGATACTGCAGCGGTGATGAGACCATTCTCTCTGGATATGGTTTTCCTTCTACCTCTCTCCTTTAACCTCTTTGAATACATATCTACGTGCGCTAGCTTGAGTGCTGTTCAAGATAAACAAATACAGAATGTGATGGAATAAAAATTGATAGGCAAATCTAATCACATTCAAATTCAATGTGGTTTATTAGAAATACAAAGGGACTAATTACACAATGTTTACAATGAAACAAAATTGTCATCAAAATAGAATCATCAATTAACACAACAAAAAGTAATAAGAAGTTGGAGTACATAATCTATACAAATCAAAATCACACTCTAATACATGAAGCTTTGGAAACAAAACGTTAATTGTTTCTGAGAGTGTCACAGAAATACAGGGTACCGGGGTTCATGCTTCTTTTAGAAACATGACTAGGGATATTTCCTCCTCTCTCTAACCAACTACAAAATTATATAACATTTCTATCACAAAGGGTTTCCAATCTAAATACAAGAATTGAAATCAGTCATAAACCCTGAGAAGACTCAAAAACTCCACCTTCAATTTCTACAAATGGAGATATTGGTTGAAACTTAAGCAATATCTGTAGAAACATGCTTATTCTCTTTTCGTTCAACATGATAAAGTGCTACATTGTCTGACCATCATTATATCCTTTGTTTTTTTTTAGAAATTTCACCTTGTTTTACCCTCGCTAAGTGTTGATTCATTGGGGGGGGGGGGTGAGATATTTTTGGTTGTCAAAATGACTTTCAGTTTCATCACTCATCTGAATAACTGAGATGTTTCATAAAAACGCAAATTTTATGAGAAAGTCTAGGACAAACACGCCAGGAAATTAATCTTCATTAAAGTTACAAAGTTCAAAAACTATTATGCTACTGAATCTGATACTTACATATATCTAATTCATCATCTTCTGATGTTATTGCTAAGTTGCTGATGAGTGTTTCTGCATCATTGTCAAATTCCTGTTTTATGAGAAGAGAGAAGGAAAGATTTGTTCACAAATGGAGACAATTATTGACACTCTCTAATAATAATTAATGTTTAATCTGTTTGTTGGAAGCCAGTAACTTATTTTTCAAAATGAATGTCTCACAGGAAAGGATTACATAGAGATTTTATATTTTTCTATTATGTAAACATTGAAGCTTTACTTGGAAAGTCAATTTCAAAAAGATGTTGCACATTGCTATCAGTAATTTTGAAATGAACTACATGACTGACAGCTTGCTGATAAGACATTCCAAGTTGTTAATTCTGGGCTTTTTCATTGTTTTTCCATTTTTACTTTAAGCTGCAAACTTTGATGCAACAATAGCAATGATATGCACTGTTCAGGTATTTCAGCAAAGGCTGTCTAAAGTCTTGCACTTATCCATCAAAACTCCTCTGCCAATAACCTATCAAACTTTTTAATTTGCCAAGATATGGTGTATTTAAAAAAAAATGCAATCCTCATAACACCATCTTCATATAAAACACATATAATTAATTATTTGCACATTTTCCCTACAAACTCTAGAACTGATTTCACTGATTCTTATTCTTTAAATCATAGTTAACTATGTAGGAAACATCTCATTCAAAAGAACCATCTAACAAATTAAATTTATCTTTCAAATCATTGCAGATAAAAAAGACCCTAGTAAGATAATCCCAAATGTTGGCATTCTGAAAATGATTTGTATCCATCAATTTTAGTCTAGGAATCTTAATCCTCAAAACAAATTCTAAATTACACGCGAAAAAAAAAAAAAAAATCATGTGTGTTTTTGCACAAAGATCTGCATGAACAATCAGCATATGCAAGCATCAAATTGAAGCCATCACCCAATGGTTCATCATATCTCAGAAGCATTCTGTACTAAAATAAAACAATTTTCAGAATACCATCAAGTATGAAAACTATTTCTTTAGCCCTCACTCACCCTTTCAAAATCATCTCTTAATGGCATGTAACAAAGGTCCTGCTGCTCTGCTAATGTTAGTTCTACGGGCTTGAATGTTAGTCCTAATGTAGGAGATAATGGCCCTGGAAAAATCAAAGAAAGATACATACAAAGCGCTAAGTGATATAACTTTGAAAAATTATGTGAACAGTCATACCTGTAGACAATGACATCCTTCCTACAAAAATTGTTCCAGAAAAACAGTTGAACACATGAAAAGAATATTATAAGACCTTTGATAATGATGCAGTTTCCTGCACACTACTTAGAGCTACATGTATTTGGTAAATTCCATTCATAATAAATCTCTGTTGAAAATGGCACTTTTTCATAGTCTCCCTGTTATGTCTGCATGCTGCATTAGTGAAAAAGAAGGTGTCTTTTGGCTAAAGTGTCAACGAAATCAAATATCAAAGGTATTAATTCACAATCAGGGATATGGAAAATAAGATGCAAGCTGACTTGCATGATGTGGTACACACATTGAACTAACTTGTATGTGGTAATATATGTGTGCCCCAGACAAATTGAAACCCATACCAGGTATATGAATTTGGAAGAAAGATTCCCGAGTTGGGGAGGATTTGAGAGTCAATAATGATAATAATAACAATTTGTTTACCCAGAGAAGCCTCATCAGCATCAAAGCTAATCTTCCTGAGGGTCCTGCAATTATAAGCACCCCAGTAATAGCCAGGTATACCTATTTACACTGGGTAGAAAGTGGCAAATGTGGAATAGTGTATTACCAAAGGACGTTAGTGCTGGGCTGGGATTCAAACCCTTGACCCTTGGAAAGAGAGTCAAATGAATGAACCACTATACCATGACATCTCCACAAGAAAATGAATGATGGGGGGGGGGGGGGGAGGGGGAGGGGGAATGGATGATCTTACCATCTTCTGGTCCTGTGTGGTCTATGAAGTTGACGGAACGGGTTTCTGGTAATGTCTCTGCAAGAGATGGGTGACAAATAGGAAAGAGGAGAAACCAGTTGTTATTGAGGATTGAATGTAACTTGTTTCATCACATACAATTGATGTGCAATCGTTATTTTTAGAATCAATGTGTGAATCTAATGAACTCCGAGATGAGAATATTTTCTTTTTAAAGCATCACTCAAATATGGTAACACCTGTTTATAGCCCAAACTACCACAAAGAAAAATTATTAGTGATCCCTCAATTCTGCCAATAGGAATAAGTCTAGGGCATGAACTCACTTAGAAATGACTCTAGTTGCACAAACAAATTTTTAGTTATGATCAACATTAAATTCTGCTGTATTATAAAGTTGAAAACTCACTGCACTTAATCAGAAATCTCTCAACAAAGATGTGTAAGAAAAGCACCAAGTGAAATCGTAACTGATTTCTAAAAGCAAAAGTGGACCGTGTACTCAAATTTATATAGCTTTACAGTTGTATTCACATATCAACAAAATTAGATATGATAAAGGGCTTCACAAACAGTACTGGTCCCTCTTGCATAAAGAGTTACTTTTAAACTTAACTCTGAAAAGCAAATGCAAGTCCTTAAATCAAACGCAACTTTGTGTTTGATTGCAATTTCATTGCATAAAAAGTTGTGTTTGATTTCAAACGTAACTTTTAAATACAACTATATGATAGATATATGACCAAATCAATCACAATTCTCTTTATGCAATGCGAGGTTGCGTTTCATTGCATGTTGCATATGATGGTTTTGTTTGATCTGAGTTGCGATCAATTGCAACCTGACTTTTATGCAAGAGGGCCCAGGTGATTTTTCATCGATAAGATTACGAAGAACTTACCTTTTCCAATCTTTCCTTGTACATAGAAGGTATTGTAGTGGTCAGAACACTCGTCTTTTGTCTTTGATCCGACATGATTACCTACTCCATCCCTGTGAAGAAAATAGATCAGTCAGTTATAAATGAACAAGTTGTTTTTCTTTTTATCAATACTATTTTTATTTTCATTGCAAAGGAAAGATATTAATAGGAAACTCATAGGTTATGAACTAAATGATAATATCACAAATGAGCAAAAAGTGATTTAGTTTTGAATGATTTCAAAAGCTCTGGAAAACTGATGCATAAAGGATTAAACAAATTATAAGTTGGCTCTATGGAAATTTGATGCACACTTGAATTATTTGTCTGAAAAGATTATTGAAATGTTTAAAGAAATAATAACTCATGTTTCCCTAAAATGCCTTAAATAGTAGAACAATAAAGGTAATTTTAAAAACACATCATTAGAATCCAATGTCAACCCAAAGATTTAGCCTATGTAAATTCTACTTATTTTCTATACAAATGCAAATAAAAGAAGCTTTTCCATCGAATAAGGGAATCACTTTTAGTATTTCTTACCAATTTCCGAAGCCAAATGACTCGATAGCATCAAGCAAGCTGTTCTCTTCTGTTGTACTCCAACAACTTCTCCCTCCAGAGGGGAATAAAGAATTATCCTGAATAAAAAATTTAAAAAATCAATAGAGTTTGTTGATTAATATGGCATTATTAACATTTGAGAAGAAAATAGAAACTGTAAATACACATAAAATTACATATTTATTCCATTGATGTGGTTAAATTCACAATAAAGGTACATGTAATTCATATATTATTTTTGAACTAGTTAATTGAAGCGGTAACATACATATAGATATAAATCAATTTTATCCTGTAAAAATCGCAATCAGATGTGAAGATAAAGGCATGGTAATATTGTTATTGTTATCATTACCATAATAAAATATTTAAAAATAATTAAAAAAGGAGATAATATTGAAGTTGAAAACTGGTATCTTCTTTACACCTTTATAAAACTTGACAGACACACTAGACGTTGTGGCATGCGCCTGTAATCCAGCTAAAAGTGGAAGTTACAAACTGATTCAGCCGAGGACGCAGGTTCGAAGCTGAGTCACGTCTTTCGGATGGTGACGTTTAAAGGTCGGTCCCAGACGTAAATAATCATATCTGATTGATACACGTCTGTAAAAACCCAATAGGCACAGAAAACTTCAACGGAATTCTAATACTTTATTCTGACCGTTAGTGCTGGGCTTGACACTATAAAGGCGCCAAGGACACATGGGCACTCTAAATGTAAGTCTGAACCCCCGAAATAGGGCTCATGCATATATATATATAGACTCTAAAAATCTGAAATCTGGACCCCCTTCCTAAAAAGGTAATGCGGAGCCCTGGGGGATGCCTCAAAAAGACTAAGATCAACTTTAAGTTGGACTTAACTATTTCAGGCTGTTCATGCCACTGTTTGATCTCACCATTTACTGGCATTGGTCTCTCAAGGGATTTACAAATCATGGTCACAAATCTACAGAATTTACATTTTTGTTGATAATTCATTATTGAAGGAAAAATATTATCTAAAGATCATAATGGTGAGAGCAACCAGTGGCATGAATGGCCTGCCATATTTAAGTCCAACTTAAAGTTGATCTTAGTCTTTGAGAAACACCCCCCTGATTAAATACTGTATTAGCATTAAGGATGTTTTAATATTAAGGATAATTGTATGTTTATGTATGAATAATTATAAGTTACGAGTACCCGATGATTGAATTTTGTACACACTGATTTTGGTGTCAAGTATGCTTATCTAAATGTTGGCATAATCGACAATTGTCGGTATACCATTCTTCATTTTGAAATTTTTCAGGTACATCCATCAAAAGTACATTGCACAATTACTTTTGCTCGGAAATGCCCTAAATTGTAAAGAAGTTTTGATCATGGCAGTAGCACACACTACACATATGTATATATTTTCTTATACATGTATATTTCATAAAAGAACTATGATGTGCAAAACAAGAATGTACACTTGATCATTTACATAAATTTGTCTCTTGACGATTTGCAATAAATTCTATTTTTAGTGTAGCCATCATATTCTTCTATTACATAGTGAATTAGTGGTAGGTAAATGTGTATGCATACAAATTTTACACGTCTGCACTATGGTTTTATACATGATATTTAAATTAATCATATTGTTTTAATCTTATACATTATACTCATACATCAGAAATGTAGATAGATTTATGAATAATGAATTGAATGTAAAATGTTATTTTCCAGCTATAGATCTACACAATGTACATGTGGTTTCCAACATATTCTAACATTCTATTCATGGTACACACACCTACTGTATAATAAAACCAATCATTTCATTCATATTCCAACATCATGTATACAACGCACATTGCCATTCATATCTCCACAGTAGGCAAATCAATTAATACCGGCGTTCTGTACTCATACACACGGCAGGGGGACATCGTGATAATGGTCATGAAAAGATCACAGATCCCTCATAAGGCTCATATACGTGTACTATATGAATGGAGTGGGCGGCTTACTTCTTCCCAGGTTCCAATTTAGAATGCATACAAATTATGCACACGATCACAAACACATGGACGGCTCTGAGTGGTTCACCAGAGGCATCAACATGCTTCGAGATGGATCATTAATTAGATGGATTTGTAAAAAAAAAGCCTTCTCCCTGCCTGATCTACACATCACACATCATCCCATTCTAGATGTGTTTCATATTTCCAAACAACTTAAATTGTGTATGTGCCTTGACATCTCTGTCTTTCTCTCTCTCTCTTTCTCCCTCTCTCTAACTCTATTTTCTTTAGATACGTTGTTTACTAACATCTGATTTTCTAATCATGTACACTGTGATAGGCTTGAGTCAATAATGTTACTGTTTACCCAACAGCTGTTTGTCTACCATGCTCCATTTCATTCTATATTTCCTCCCCCCCCCCCGCCCTCTCTCTCTCTCTCTCCCAAAGTTCTTCCTCTCTACATTACTCTTATTTATCCCTCTTTCCTTCTCTCTTCTTTCCCTCTTTCTCCCTTTCCCCTTCTCTCTCTCTCTCTCTCTCTCATACTCAACAACTACACTCTCTCCATACATGAATATCAGGAGTATGATGAATACTATGAGCTGAGATTTCCTGTGATTGATGTAGTGAGCTTATTGTTCCCAGTGCAAATCTCCTCTTGATGATACCCCATCCTAGTGTAATCTGATACTGTCATATAAATTGATCATGCACGATGTATGCATATAATGGAGTTCTTTGCAAATTGACAATTGAGACATGTACATGTAATGGTGTGAGAAGTTCCGTCTACAAAATTAGCATTAATACTGGTGATTGCTTTATTGCATTTTGTGAAAATGCTTTGGTGTAATGCCAAATGATGCTGTGAGCTTGTTTGACCCCCCCCCCCTCTCTCTCTTTCTCTCTCTCTCTTATTACAATATTTGATAATTTGCATTTCAATATTCCATAGTTAATTGTACAATAACTGTAATTTCATTGGTAATTTTCATACAATTTCTGAAACAAACAAATTTGATTATAACATTTTTAAAACAAACTGCTAGTGGTTAAAAACTAGAAACAATTTGATATTCTATGACAAAATATACATCTTTGATGCATTTGAATAATACTTTATGAGCTTGCATAATTGAGCAAACAAGCCTATTTCCTGAGGTAACAAAATGTGTGTGCACTTTAAAACTGAATGCATGCCCAATGATCAATGTCCCACAGTTTAAAAAAAAAAATAAATAAAATCTACATTCTGAATATAATCTCCTCAGTTCACCTCTACATCCCGAAACATTCCCATCATAAAAAAATATTTAAAAAATCCAAAATCAGATCTACAAAACTAACAAAAAAACCCAAATTGTGGCTCACCACAAAATAAATAGCAAAATAAAACACTTCACAATTGTTGCCATTCATGACACATCATATGTAAATGCATGAGTGAGCGAAGGGGTGTTAACAAATACAGTTCACTCCACTGGCTACCTTGAGTAGAAGATCATTTACCCCCCCCCCCCCTCTCTCTCTCTCTCTCTCTCTTTCTCTCTTTCTCTCTGACCCTCCCCCTCACTGCACGTTGTTTACTTCAAGCAAACGATTAACTCTATTCATGCTCACTGACCCATTTCAATCATTTACTACGTATTGAAAACACACAGCAAGTCTAGGGCATTTAAACACAATTTTTTTTAATGTACATGTTTATCAGTCCAACTCTGTACACACATCTAAGGTTAAATCCACAGAAGCCACAACCAAAACATGGTCATTCTTCACAAACAGTCGTTTTAAATGATTTTAATACAGGCCTACTAGTTTTTCACATAAAAATCTACAGATGTTCCAACTAGGCTCTATGTGTTAAAGATATAAAAGCTGTCCAACATATACTCCGGAATGCAGATTGGCTATGCAGAAAATGTATTTTGCAACACAGCAATGACTGAATCATCAAATTCTACTATCTAAGAAGAACAACTGAAAATAAATATAGATACCGTTATTATTTTAAAATGCGGTTAAACCAAACATCAGGAATTTTTCCCAAGATTAAATCAAAGAAAACTATTGTTATGTCATTGGCTAGAATTCCACACAGATTAATATATTTGTTAATGTAGTGTATACAATGAAAGGTTCTGACATACCATTATTTGATATCCATGATCCCTCTTGTGACAACCAATCTCAGCTCCAGCACGAAAACACTGTAGGAAATTTAACAAAGGTATTGTAAATAAGATAAAAAGGATATTCACAAATTGAGGCTTTTGTGTGTTGTGTGTAATTGGTTGTTTACAGATGTATATCAATCATACAATATTTAAATATTTACGGCTGGGGACAGACCAAATTCAAACAAGAATTATTGCCATAATACATCTAGAACCATTTTAAGAACCAGTGTACTACTAATAAAAAGAGGTTACTTGCTTCGTACCAAGATAAATAATAAATTAAATTTATCAACCGTCTTTATCTGGAGTATTCCTTTAAGTAAATCCCTACTAAGAATATTTCTCTCCCATCCCTATCAAGAATGATGGTAATGGCAATTCCACTCCAGTTCGTGAATGGAAACTGATTTTGTTATCATACTAATTCTTCAATTTATAACTAAAATCTCTTTGGTACATCAACTTGTTGAATGCCTTAATACGAGTAACGATTCCCAACATGCATCCTAGTACATGTATGATGTGTAAACTCTAAAGTTATTCCTTAGGATACCTACAGTATATTTCCACCCATAGAAAAAGCTTGATAATTGTCAACTCTTTATTTGAATACAAGTCAGCTGGAAAATTGTTGTGTCGAGTCAATGATTCATTGCTCTTTTTGTGGAATGTTGTACTTCTGGAATGAAGACATATTTTCTGGAGGCTATCAAATTTCTCATCTGCATACTTATGAAGATGACTGTACTTATATAAAAAATAATTCATTTCTAAAGCTGTTAGGGGTGAGGCTATCATCTGGCCCCCTTTATACCAATATTTTCTCTTCTTCTGAACATGTAAATATCATGGTATTAAATGTATTCATTCGCAAATAAATCAAATAAATGTAAATGTATTTCATTAATCCATTAAAAATGTATGAATACAATCAATCAGTGAGCTAATAGCAGATGAAAGATAAGAACATAAGTTGAATAGGACTTTTGGAGTCAGCATAAATTTGAAGAAAAATAATTTATTGTAAAGGTGGAAGGTCAAGGGGAATAATGAAATTTAATAATTTCAAGGAAGAATGCCATTAAAAGTAAGCTTGATTCTACCAATCTGTACTTTAAATAGAACAAAGGAGACAAAGGGAATTACTGAATGCTTGAGAGCCCTAGCAATATGTGTAGCAGCAGTTAAACTACAAATACAATGCACTGGTACTGCTGCACAGCCATTGTCCCTTACTGTAGTATGCATGCCCCTTCATAGAACATCGAACAATGTACAGCACAACATGCATGGACAGTACATAGAGCTAACAGTAACAGGAAATGAATACCAAAACGGACCCCCGTTGGCTTCAGTACGCATACAACGATGATCTGTACTGTGTGCATGTGTTTGTGTGTAGTGTACGCACATGTATTGAAATAAGGCCCTGGGCGGATGGGGGAGAATCTCACACACACCAGTCCAAGCTAATACCGTTAATTCAAAACCATGTTACGTGTAATGGCGTTGTGACTCTTCAATATGTAGCCCTAATATAAGGTCGGAGTAACGTCCCAAAACTTTCCCAGGTATTAGTTTATTAAGAAAAAGTGATGATTAATGTAAATGAGTGTTTTATTAGGCTTTAATAACGTTGACCTTGAAACTGTAAGCAGCCGACTTGCTGTGCTATTTTTATACTCGCCTGTAAACAAAGATCGAAAGTCTCGCCATCGGAGCAGTCGCAACATTTCACGCTGAAGGACTTTAACTCCTCTTGGCAGTAGTTGCAGTACAATCTTGGGGGGCACTCTGAAAGTAAAATAATGTAAGATGTTAATAAAGTGGATAAATCGACATAAAAACATGTAAAAGCACGAATAAACAGTCGATAAAGTGGGCAACTCACCGGCCATTTTCTGGGGACGGACGGGGAATTCTCACACACCGGCGTAGCTGACGTCATCAGACATTCAACCCATAATGCACCATTGTATGTAGCAGACAAAAAAAAAAGTCAAAATGGCAGGACCTTCCGTGAAACTCAGCCTGGAATCTCTACAAGAGCATAAAGTACAAGAAATTTCGCTCGATGGATTGGAAACTTATACTAAGTATGACATTGTCAACTCAATACAATTATTCATTTTTGCTCTGATGTATGAATTTTACAGAATACCACTTGACCACATATGTATATGTTTAACAAATTAATCATATCGGTCCCATATATTGCCTTTTGAGTTTTATATTTTTGGTTATTAATAATGTAGACCTAAGGCTAGACCTCTAGGCCCTAGGCCTATGCATTTAAATTATTTAATTAGGAAGATGTTGTCTATGAGTTGCAATATTAAAGGAGACATGTTGTGGACATATTTTTATAGTTTTGTCAATGTCATGTTAATTGTTATTGTGTAGATCTAGATCTAGACCCTATTTCTTCTCAAAGATTTTGATATTATTAATTCTATTGATCTTTTAATAATCTTGTTTTTGCCCAATTTTGGCATCACTCAGATTATTTTGTTCTAAATGTTTTTGTTTTAAATCCAAAAAGAGCTCCAGTGATCAAAATATCAAGTAATGCTTTCTGATGAAATGTCATTATGCATCTTCTCTAGGCCCCTGTCTATGGCAGAAAACTTGGCGAAATTGGCCCACAAGATTGACTTTGCCTCCCAGTCCACCGACGCTGAATCTCCAGAGAAAGAAACCCCTGAAACAGAAGACAAGGAAGGCACAACTTCATTCCAACAGCCGCAATGGCCATGGGACTCTGTCAGAAACCAAGTCAGGTGAGTCCTCCATGATTATCAAGGTTTGGGTAAACGGCAACAATAATTGGATTCTAAAAGAAACTTAAGTGACTTAGATTAAAAGAAGTAAATGAGCTTTACATATTCAAGGAATTGTTTTTAATCTCCAAGGAAATTTTGCATAAATGCATTTGGAAGGAACTCATTGAATAGCAGCTATTTGTGCTTTTTTATTATAATCAAGAAAAAAACAAATCAAACCCACATATACACACACAAAGAATTAGAAAATGATATGATATTGACTTTATAACTACCCACATTGTTGAGACTGAAGCCAAATATTTGTATTTTTATATTTGTATTTTTTAATTTGTATTTTTTCACTGTCAAAAAAGCCATTGGAAGCAAAATTTCTATGTAATGTTCGCAAGCATGGACCAATATAATAATCTTGAATCTTGAAATAGAGTTTACACAAACTCTGAAGAAAAAAATCAATTTAATTAAAAAGCGTTGATCAATGTTCTTCCAATAAGGTTGAAAAGGGAAGAACATTTCCAAATTTAATCTTGTTGCATTGGTCATTTTTTATGTATTTGCACAAACTAGGAAAAATTGAAATTGATTTAGATAGTATCATTTTTTTTTTTTTTTAATTTATTTATTTATTTTTTTTTTTTTTTTTTTTTTTATTTATTTATTTATTTTTTTTTTTTTTTTTTTTTTTTTTTTTGGGGGGGGGGGGGGGGGTGATGATATTGAAAAGAGGATAACACTACCAATAAGCTCTCTGTATGATAATGTTCTGCCCATAAAACATACAGAGGCAGCAACTTGATATGAAAATGTTCTGCCCATAAGATATACAGAGGTAGCAACTTGATAGAAACTTTGACAATGTGATATCAGCCTCTTTTTAAAAAAATTTAAAACTGAAAATGTTATTTGATTTTTTTCCTGTTTTTAGGGCTGCTTTGACGGAGATGAGTGTCCTGTCAGACATTCTTCACATAGCCCGACCTGCCAACAAAGAGCAACCCTACATGGTCTTGGATCCTGTATCTGTAGAGGGGAATGCACCCAAGCAGTATGCCATGCAGATTGTGGAAAAGAAGAAGGTACCCCTTTTTCAAGTGCCTACAGTTTCTTACATTTTAAAGTTGTAGGACGGGGGGTGTTTCACAAAGATTTTAAGTTGAACTTATCTCTAAGTTGGAGATAAAAATTATGGAAAGCCGTTAGCATCCTTGAAAATATCGTGTAAAAGTTATTTTAAAAGGCATAAAATGTTGAATCAAATCATTCATATTTTCTATTCCCATGGGAAATTTCATGTGCTTGATGTGGAATTCATGAAAAGTCTAAAATGATTAAATTTTTGCTTTTGAATATATTTCATTATAAGGCTACAAATGGCTCTCCATAAGATTTAAGTTCAACTTAGAGTTAAGTTCCATTTAGAATCTTTGTGAAACACCCCCCTGGTCACATATATGTATCACAGATAGTAATAACTATAACTATAAGATTTCTTGGATCTGAGAAAAATCAATGCTAAAACTCTTTAGCAGAAGAAGCGAGCACCACCACTATCCATTATATTTCCACATAGATCAATTTTATAGTTGCAGTTGCTGTTTTTATTATGAGTGATAATGTTACTGGCCATTGTTCATGCTGTCTCTTCAGGACTGACTTGACAGAATCGGGTGGAATATAAACATACAAACAATCGATATCAACATTTTTTATTTTAATGTGAAAAGTAAACTTATTGAAAATAAAGAGAGCCTAATTTGTGACATGTTGAAGTTTAATATCTTGTTATCTTTCTTTTGGATAGAAGTGGTTTAAGCACTTGACTTGAAATTCAAAGGAAGGGTCTGATCCCCGACACGGCACTAATGACCTTTGGCAAGGCATTAATCTTCATTTGCCACACTGACCCAGGTGAGGTAAATGAGTACCCGGCACAAATTAATTCCTTGAAATGCTGGAGCGCTGTAATGGCAGCTAGGCTAAAGCTGGGGTAATAATAAATGCACCTCGGAATAGAATTTCTAGATAGACGGCGCTATAGAAATGCCTATTATTATTATTATTATTTTAGAGTTTGGAAACTGCGGCTAGCATCTTGACGAGTGGAGCCAACCGCATGCTGCAGTCCAAGCGCTTTGGGGTGAGTGCGGAGAAGAAGAATGCCAAGGATGATTTCTTTGGTGAGCTTCATCGTCTCAGGATGCACTGGAGGCTGAAGAAGATTGGAAACAACATCCTAGGAGATCTCAGCTTCAAGACAGGTCAGCATCTCTTAAAGCGAGACTGCACTATTTGTAGCTACTTGCGCTCTCTATATAGCAAACAATGCCTAAGCAGTACCCGTTGGTCCCCCATGATCCTCTTTTCTTATGTTAGGTGAAAGCTGATTTGATGAGATAACCACCTGTCAGTGGCCACGCAGGCAGGTCTAATCCCTCCTGGCCAAACTAATGCAGACAGGCTTTAAAATCATAACGCAGGAAGCCTTTCAAGGGGGAGAAGTCTACTCTGATAATAAAGTTGGTTTAAATAGAAGCAGTAAAATAAGAGAAACATGTCAGTGAAAGTTTGAGCAGAATGGGATGAAATAAAATGTAAATGATAATGATGTGAGCCAAGCAAAATGTTGTCATAAGATGAGCTCTGAATATGACTTCACCCACTTTACTTACCAAAGCTAAATGATAAGTACCAATTTTGACTTAGTCAAAGAAATTAAATGAATGTCGGCGATGTTGTCTTGAGAAGTAAAGTGTTTAATCCATAGAACTGCCGTTAATGACAATGCAACAATCTGTATTCTTGATTCTTTTTAGCTGGATCCCGTTTCTGGCATAGCGGTACCTTTGAAGTGGCCAAATCCACCGACCAGGAGATTGAGGAAGCAGAAGAGAAAGGCATCCCTCCATGTGCTCTCAGGGTCACCATACCATCTGATCTGCAGGGGACCAGCTACATACAGGTGCTCATACAAGAAGGTATGGTTTTTTTAAAGTCTTTTATCGGCCATATATCTATCATGTTTTAGTGTCATAATATGGTGGGTTGTTTACTTAGTTTCCGCTCAAAATTTTGAGTGTTCAAATCCCTGCCTGGTACTGGTGTCCTTTGGTAAGACATATCTAAATTTGTCACTCCCCATACAGGTGTGAATTGGTACTTGGTATGCTTGGTTAATGCATATTGAGCTGATTGGCTATAAATTGGATAGTGATGCCACTGCAAAGTACTTGAAAAATTGCTTTATCAGTCATTAAAAATGTTGTTATTATAACTGATTGATAGGGACAAAAAGACCTTTAATGGCTATCTTTGATATTTGAAATTACATGTAAGAAGTACTTGTTATTTGTATTTGGATATTTGCTATTGTAGGTCATATCTGGTCTTGCAACCTGAGAGCACTTTCCGAATCATTGGACTGTGTATAAAGTAAATGTTATACTGAAAATATGTATGGAAGCTGTTGCATTCTGATTGATAATGTAATGACAGAGACTATGAAGAAAAAGATATGCCTGAATGGCAAGTGATTTGCTTAGAAAGCTAAAACAAAAACTCTGGAAAATAAACCAATACCTTGAGAGAAATAATTCTCACACTGGACAGAATAATTACAAAGTAAGGGTGTGGTGTGTGTATAGTAGTCTTCACTTTGATTAGTGGTGCAATACATTGAAAGATGTTGATACTGTATTCGTTAAAACAGGTCAAGCTGATATTGCCAGTGCCCTTCTGCAGAACCCCAGTAGGAGCCATGTCTCTGCAGATGCACACTGGCAGGAGAGGTTAGAGGCCGCCCAGAACGTTCTCTTCTGCAAGGAGCTCTTTGCACAGGTAGGAACATTGGCTTATCAAAGAATATTATTATGATTGTTGTTGTTATTTTTATTAGTATTATTGTTAATACTATTTTGTTTAAAAAAAAAAAGATTTCTATAGCTTGTTCTCTTCTTTATTATTAAGTATTTTGCACCACCTGTGCCTGGGAGGGTGAGAAAGAAACAAATCACAGTGACCCTTGGGTCTCTTCTTCCATCATAACTGATTGGGGGTGTGCAGTTGGACCACTGCACTAATGTTTCCTCCCTACTCTTATACAAATAGTCTAGTGGGTTCTTAAAAGTGGTGACTCTCCTCTACATGGGGCTTCCATTTTACATCCTATCCATAGGATATTGGTTGTTTTGAGGAAAGCTTTAGAAAGGAACAGATTCTTTATAAAGTACTAGCTTGAGTTTGAGCTGAAGAATCAGAGGGTAAAATTTTTTTTTTAAAGAGATGAAAAATAAATAATTTTCTGAAGATTTTCTTTTTGATTCTGCAATATTTTGGTAATGTTTTGTGAAGTTATGAATGACAATTTTGTTTAACTCTGTTTATTGAATATAGCACATTTTCACTATCACTTAATTAAACTATAGCTTATTCTTATTTAATGAAAAAAACATATTATGAGAAGAGTAAAAGCACAGTTGAAGAAATTGCTTGCATTTGAGATTTTTGCATTCACAATACTCAAAATCCTCTTTTTAACTATAATAATAATAATAATAAAAACATCACTTATAAAGCGCTTACCACCGAAGTCTATTTCTCTTTTTTCTTTTTTCTTGACAGATTGCTCGTGAAGCAGTGCAACTGAAAGCACCGGTCCCTCATCTAGTGGTTGGCAATCAGATCATCTCTCACATCTTCCATGGTGTCCAGCTCTGTATTACACTCTGCCATGACACCAACATGGACAGAAAGGTAAGGATAGTTAACACCTGGGTAGCTTTGAAATGCAGGGCTGCTGGAGCTAAAGCTCTGGTAATAATTTCCAAAGCTCTTTGGAAGCGCAAAGAGACATTATTATGTGATGTGTGCTTATTGATTATTATAACACTATAAGACCAAAGAATACCAGAATTGTTAGTCTGGATATTGCATTAATTCTATGATTCCAGTGTATGATACTATTATAAACACACTTTGCCGCAGAAAGCAATGTACATTGATATAGTTTTTGTATGTTTATGTAAGATTACTGCCTTGAGTCATGAATATGAAACCAAAGATATAGCATTACCCATTCATATTTATTACCATGTGAAGTGAAGTCTTTTTCCCATTGATATTTGGAAAAGTGGACAGGTTAAAAAACTTAAATTTGCATTTCTAGATTGGATAAAGCCCCTTCCAACCCAAGAAAAAAAAAATATTGCCATTAATTAACCGCTCACTCACTTTGCTCAATAACCATCTTCTTTTTGCAGAGGATCATTCCTCCTAAAGTGAGTAGATAATGTATATGATTTTGGCCGCTTACTCACTGCATGGACATCTCCCTTACATATTACATATATCATTTGTATATATTAGTACTGTAGCCTGTGGTTTTGTTTTACCATAGTTGTAGTAGTGAGTATTATGTAAGATCACCATGAAAGTGATGCACACGTAGACCTCCAATACACAAACACCCCCAAATGTTTGTAAAAAAAAAACATTGGCCAGGAGAGCAGAGCTAGATTACCCTTTTCTTTGCTACGAATTCCCTTAAAAATCTAGCAAGTGGAGCCCTGTCATGTATGCGACTTTGTGTTCTGTCACGTTTGTGTTTTTTTACATTTCCCCTTATAATCAGTCAAGGTGTAGTAGATTTGTATTAGTATCAATTTGCAGGATTATTTTATGTTTTGTCTTTGTTCTTTTGTTCTTTTTTAATATCCATTCATTTAATATTTTCACTTCAATTTGCCAAGTTCATATGGAAAATATTCAGAACTTTTACAGATTTTGTTTTGCTCTCTTTATATCTTTGGCATAGATGCAAGAGTTCCATGATACTATTTTGTTGGTTATGGTGTAATATTGTAGTCTATTTTGCATGTTATATTCAACGTGGCAGTGATTTATATATCATATATGATATTGTTTCATATACATTCTTCTCCGAGTCTCTGTGGGCTATTATTGTTCTTTCTATTTCTGTTTTTGTAGCAACAGTATGTTAGTCATATCCTTCTTTTAGAACACAGAATCCTTTTTTTCTCCATTCTACAAAACCAATTAATGTTATAGAGAATATTGGACACTCACAAAGATGCTGCCTGTCCTCAACAGACATCATACTTTAATTTTCACCATCATAGATATTCAACAGAATTTTTTTTAAAGACTAGGGGTCAAAAGATAGATAGTAGTGGGTAAAATCATTCATCTAGAAATACACCATTCTAAGAATAAAGTATGTCACATGTAAAAATGCTCAATTGTTTGATGGTTAAGTTTTAAAAAAACTAACAAATTGCCATCTTTATTCAACCAGCGATAATTTCATACACAATACATGACTTTGAATTAATTGCAAATTTTTAGAATCATATGTTTTAATACACCTGATCCTGTCTTGGGAGGAGGTTCAATTGATGTACATGTATGTCAATTGTAAGTCCTCAAATCAATCACCAACTTATATTCTCTTATCTCTTAAATAAAAATTTACGATTCATATTACCATCAAATTAAGTAACGGTAACCACAATTTCAAATCAGTTACAACTCTATATGACTGCAAAGTGCGTGCGTTCACTTTGCTGACTGTAACTTTTTCTTTTCTTTTTCGTGGGGCCATGTACGTATAGATCGAGGGTGCTGTAAAGCCAAACCACAGTCACGCCATGGAGCATTCCCTGCATCAGTTGCTAAGAGAACTTCACCGTGGCAACCTGAATGGCTCCACCCCCAGGCCTATCACAGCCGTTCACACGGCGGCGGCCAAACGTAGGAGAATGATGTCACTCCAGGCTGCGGGTCACAAGGAGATCGCTCAGATACAACAGACGTAAGTTCTTGCGTAGAGGTGTCACAGTCGAGTGGTTTAACTTTCAGCGTTTGATTTGAAATGCAAAGGTCGTGCCTTCGATCCCGAACATGGCACTAATGTCCTTTGGCAAGGCATTAATCTACATTTTCTACTCCATACCCAAGAGTGTTGGCTCAGTCAGTAGAGCGTCCGCCTCACAACCGGGAGGTCGTGGGTTCGAACCCCGGCCGCGTCATACCAAAAGACGTTAAAAGATGGGAGTTGTTGCTACCTTGTTTGGCGTTCAACAATAAGGGGATAGATCAACGTCGATCTGGCGCTGCTCAGTGGCTGCCGGGCTCACGATCAATTGGGCAAAAAGAATTTCTGTTTCGGTTTAATAAAATTTGGAGTGGACTATTAGATTATTATTATTATTTATTAAGAGAAAAATTTGTAGTTGATCAGAAAGTGCAGTAAATATGTGAACTAAAAATACAATTATTTCCCTCTCAATGAAATGTTGTAATTTAACCCATTATTAGCCTAGTAGGGCAATTTACCCTCCAAACTATAAAATGATCATCATGAATAGAAAAAGAAAGTGTGAGATTGTTGTGTAATAACATTTTCGACATGGTGGTTTGACTTTGAAATAGTCCCTGTGAAGAAGAAAAAATGTATACATGGAATATATATCTATTATTTATTTGTATCATCTGCTTTTTTTCAGAGAATGTTTGCTTGAGAAGATCATGAAGCAAGCAAAGCACATAGTTCTCAGACACAGGTGAGAATTTTATAGTGTTTTGAAAAATTTATTAACCAACACGACATATTATAATCGATTTTTTTTTTTTTTGTTCTAGGACATGCCAATCCTAATGTGTGATAAGATACTTGCATCTTACTTCCGTACCATGGTTACCAATACTTTTTGCGTTCAGAAGTATTTTAAAGATTCTACCACTGAATGTCTTTTTTTCAGGTTTTGTCGTATGTTGAATGTCACCGTCTTCCCCTCAAATCTTTGAAATATGTTGTGAAATATCAGCATTATAATGAGGGCTCTACATAAGTTTTTACATATGGGGTCCAGATTTAAACTGTTAGGGTCTGTTTGCATGGGGTCGCTTTTTATGTTTTGAGGTCATATCTTTCAGATTTTATGGGCAGTGTGCACCGGCTGCTTTGTCGGTGTCAAGCGGTCATTAGCCATGCTTTTCTCTTTACTTTACCAATATTCCATTCTTTCGTGCAGGGTTGGCAAGTTACTAGACGACATGTCTGCAGAGAATGAAGATCCCAGCATACAGACCCATTGGGGTGCAATGACTCAACCCTTACAGTCAACGGTCAAGGTGCATATGACCTCTAGCGGTTACATCTACGAACAGCTGGTCAGGTAAATAACATTAATTGTTGCCTATTTCAGAATAAGGACTGGAATTTAGGAACTTTTTTATGTAATAAATGTCAGGCAAAATTTAAATTCTTTTATTATCAGACCAGCATATCTATTAATAACTTGTCAGGTAAATCACATTGTTGGTAGATTCAGATGAAGAATTGTGAATTCAACAATATTTGTTTACATGTACATTGTGTTGTAGATTGGTTGAAGTTTTTTAGACCCCTCCCCAGGACAATAACATGTATGTGCCCCCCCCCCCCAAAAAAAAACAACAACATCAAACTCTGTCTATGGGCCTGCTCTTTATGAGACTTGTAAATGGCTAAATGCATATTTAAATAAAAATTAAACAAGGCAACAACAACAAAAAACAAAAAAAGAAAGATTCATTATCAAACCAGCGAATATATATATATCTATGAACAACTTATCCAGTAAATGATATTGTTGCCAATTGCAGAATGTGTAACAGTTTTGTAATTTTTGTTGCTTTCATGGGAACAGTGAATTAAATACTTTCAGTATTGACTGTAAAACCCAAAACCATTGCAACATGAAAACATATCCAAATTTGCAAATATTTCATATTGTGATTCTAATTTTAATATTTTGTGTCACGAAACTAGGCGAACCTCAAACACTTGCAATTTTTTTAAAGACATATGAGACGGACCATTATTTTCTTAACCGCTATAAAAGTATTTATTACACATTATACATTATTCAGTTTTGTAAAAAGCTTGCATGTATCTACATGTATGTTCTGATTTCCTTTTTTCTACCAATAATAAATAGCATCTGCAATCTTTGATTGTTTGTAGGTCTTCCTTACACCTGTGTGTGGAGACGGAAACCATCCAGGCAGTGATGAAAGACGGGCGGGTCGTCAAGCTTACACATCATCTTCAAGAACTACGCGATCTCATCACCTGTATGGTAAGGAGAAATGCTGGAAAAACATTTCTGTAGTTGTATGATTGTGATTGAAAACATGTTTTCACAGATTGTCACAGTGAATGGTCAGTGGGTTCAAATTCCGACGCGCACTATTGTTCTTTGGCAAGACATTAAGCTATAGTTGCCGCTCTCCACCCAGATGTTAACTGGGTACCAATAGGAAGGAATTCCTTGAATACACTGTAATCGGTAGCCTAGCAAGAACGAGGGTTGTAGTGTCTTGTGCACCTTGCTTGGTGGATACGAGCTTTAAAAAAAAAACAATCCTAAAATTGTATTCAATAAAAATCGTATGAACTAAACGCACAAATTAATTCAGTAGAAACTTTAAACAGTCAAATATTGACCAAAAACAATCATTCTCACCACTCCAAAAACAATTTTTAGAAGTGAACATGTGGATTCAGTGATTGTGATTTCCAACAATTTTTATTTTCATTTACTAGTCTAAGCATCCATAAAATTCAGAATTTACACCTAGTGTAAATTCTTACCATAGCTGTGTTAACCCATTGCCTACAGGATCCAGTGAAATCCCCTCACTATATATTTCCTAAAATTAGCTTTACCGGTAATTTACTTTTTTTTGTTCTTTGGTTCCAGGTCTCACAGCACCAAGTCTTGATCTTAGCCCAGCTGTGTAAACACATGAGCATGCACGTGCTACAGAACAACCTTCACGTAGGGACAGGACCAGCTGCCAAGCTGGGCAGTACCTCGGCCATCATGTTCACAACACCAAATGGACAGAAGTAAGTATCAAGCCTCATTCAGTTTGTTATGATGACATATTAAAAGTATAATACGCTTCACATATCTCAGTTATAACAGAGCACTGGGAGAATATCTTTGTTGCATGCAGTTGCGATTCATTAACACATGTGGCAATTTAGTGGTTTTATTCAAGTTTGAAATTTGTGGGAAAAAACTAACATTAGCATAGAAGGGATTAAAAGTTTCTCTTTGCAACATGGGAATTAAAAAAGGAAATGCCTTATTACAGATACCCCCCCCCCCCCTTCTCTCATTCTCTACTATTTGATGCAAAATATATACCCGGTACTCAATACTTTGATTAATTAAATTTCGATATCAACATTTTATTTCTCCTTTTCTGTTCGTAATAATACTTTTGACCAGGACCAAGGCTCTTGGGCTGGGTCAGGGTTCAGGAAACTAGTATGATACACCAAGAACAGTGGTTTCATCATAATTATGACCTGTGTCTACAACTATGAGTTTCCATCCTGATCTTTTTCTCTTAAATCGGGACTGCACTACTTGTAGCTACTTGCGCCCTCTATATAGCCAACAATGCCCAAGTGATACCCGTTGATCCCCCATGGTCCCCTTTTTCTTCTGTTAATTGAGACCTGATTTGATGAGATAACCACCTGCCAGTGACCACGAATGGAGGTCTAATCCCTCTTCGCCAAACTAGTGCAGATAGGATTTAAGTGTTGTGTTTTCGTTTTCTCTTTATATATTGGGACAGTAGGTTCACAAGCTAATTTTGGACCCTTATTTCCAACCTACAGGACTGTAGCTGTTCGCTCAGACCCTCTAGAGGGCATCACCGTGATGGTCCAGGGGTGCAAGGCTTCCCCCCTCCTACCCCAGCCAGAGATCCTCAGTGACGTCGTCACCGATGAAAAGTGGGAGAACCTACCTAAGGGCTTCAGGGAGGTGGACATGGCTCGGATGCCTGGGCGCAACTTCATCCACAAGATGGAAATGCTTCTTGCAACGCTTGCCAAATGAGATCATGGAGCAAAGACTGTGGACTGTAGAATGTAAGATGTCACAGAGAGTAACTTCCTATTGAGAAGAAATGTATCTTTCAGTTATGACAGAGGAGCACTTCAAGATGGCACAAATTTATTTGCAAGATGGAAATGCTTCTTGCAAAGCCTGCCAAATGAGACCATGGAGCGAAGACTGAGGACTGTAGAATGTAAGATGTCACAGAGAGTAATGTCCTATTGGAAAGAAATGTATCTTTCAGTTGTGACAGAGAAGCACTTACTTGAAGATTGTAATAGCGAACCCCGTTTCAGGTACAACTTCATTTGCAAGATGGAGATGCTTCTTGCAACACTCTCCAAATGAGATTGTAGAAAGCAGAGACACTGTTCTAAATGATTAACATTCAACAAAGAGGAACTTTTCTCTGTGAAGAGGTTTACCTTTTCTATGTCACAGAGATTTCAAAAAAGTTAACCTGTATGGACACAACTACAAGATTCTTCTTGCAATACTTGCAAAATGAGATCGTTGAGCAGACTGAAGACCTTGGACTCAGTTACCGCTATATGAGATGTCAAGGAAAGGAACTTCCATGAAGAAAGCACCACTTGTAGTGCATTCTTAAATATTCACAGATATTGATAAAAACTGTATGGCATAAATGTTTCTAAAGTAATTGATCATTTATTTGCATAAAATTATGATTTTCTCTTCACAAAACACTTTGTGTCAAAAGGAACAATATTTGTTAAATCAATTAAAAAAGGAACTAGTGGCTGTTTTATTTATACATTCTTAACACCAAGTTACTTATGGGATAGGTCAAAGGTGACTTATAAAGACAGCTCCTAAGCCTCCCATACATGCATGTGATAAAATTCTATGCACCCCTGAATTTCATCCGAAAAATCAGTCAACATTTTTTTGTTCTCGCTTTTAAGGAATAGTTGCATATGTAAATAAACTGTAAAATAAATTGGAAACATAAATTCTCATGTTACCATTGATTTTATATTGATCATGTTTATAAAAGTAAATGCAAATTCCATATTAAATTGCTACAAACAAAAAGTACTTTCCCGTGTGCATTTTATTCTTCAGTTTATCATATATTCTATGGCTTTCGTTCCTCACATTGTATTTGTTTCAAATATGATTGTTTTGATTTGTTTCTGTATTTTTTACCATAAGCATTTCAATGTCAATGTCACACATGTACAATGTATTTCTTTTGTTTCCTGTCAGTCAACAAGTTAAAGAGAAGGTTAAGTTTTGGGAGAGTTGAAAAAGTAATTTGTGAGCTTTATCATTCTTTTTATCTCATTCTCACATACAATTCATCATTTTTTCACCTTCCTCGACCCTTCTTACAATATAAACAATAACAATATTACACCATCACCATACCACATACATGTATACATGATTTTCTCTTTCTCTGTCATTTATTGCTTCTCTACCACTTTTTATCAATTTAATTAAATATGAAGTAAAAGGGAGATTACTGCTGACGTAGCAACAGCAATGTAATTGATGAATTGAATAGCATTTTATTGTCTAGTAACTTTATCTCATTTATGACAAGTATGTCATTGCACTATGATCATTACATTTCAAGCAATGCCAGAATTGGAGAATTTTTTTTTTTTTTTTAAATTCTGAATTGTCCACAATTAAAATCAGACAACTTTAAATTACTATGTGCTTACCAGTAATAATTTTCCCTGAATTATAAAGTAAAACACATAACAAACTAACATTATACTGCTTTGATAAGAACTAAATTTACAAACATATCATTTAGCTTTACCTCCCTGCAAGTTGCCAAGTGCTAAAATATTTAATTTGCTTCCCAATAAATATTTACAAACTGAAGCTGAGTTAATTTGAGACCAATCTCTTCTACATTCTTAATATAATACTGTATCCATTAAGTACAATAACAAAAATCACACAATATCCACTGCTCGCATTCAACAAAAAATATATTTTCCAAGAATATTAACAAATATATTATCATTGTCTGTCTCACAGTCTAGGGATAGTCTATAATAATAATAATAACTATTTCTTATATGGCGCTTTTTCAGGAGGGCCCTATCAAAGCGCCTTACAGATATTACCCCGGTCATCGGATTCAAGGCTTACCCGCACACAATGTTGGCACATTCTCCACACCCTGGGGAGCATTCCAGCCAGGTGTCATTTTTACAAGCGCACACTTGCTAATCTAAGCACATTAGCTTTTGCATCCTACCGGGCAACTACCGGGCAACTTTTGCATTGCCTGCAAAGGCCACAGCATAGTTCATCAGGTCACTGGTTACCGGTATACGTCAAAACTCCATTGTATGTGTAAAGGGTCCATTGGTCACTAGAGACAACACTTGCCTATTTCCATAGGTCCCGCTTCTGACCTTGCAATTCGCTTCCGACGTCCTTGCATTGCTCGCTAGGGTATCACGACAGAGTTCAACAAACTTTTGATAAAGTTCTCTCCCCGTATCCTTTGGGATGTTGGCATGGTACTGCATCATCTTTCCTTTGGCCTTGCCACCGAGCGTTGCCTGGGGAACGATGAGGACATCTCCAGGTAGATCTAAGATGGAGACTAGCTTGGAGTCTGTGAGTGCCTCGCTGAGGCGTATGTTTAGGGCAAATTTGGCTGTGAAAAAAACATATATATCTTGAATTAGTTTTAGCCAATACTTTGTAGCTTATTCACCTTATTATACTTATCTCTGCTTTGATCGGGGGGGGGGGGGGGGGGGGCAGAAGGGGTGCCCAGTTTCTTAAAAACGATAACTAAATAACTTTGGTTTTCATGATCAGTGGAGAAAAGATATTGAACATATGACTACTCTTATGTAGAGTGAGATAAAAAAAATTAGTCTCGGCAACATTCAGTGTATGCAATGGTTACAGAATGGATTTAGAAAAATATAGAGAGAGAGAGAGAGAGAGAATATATTCAAGAAAATAAAATACAGGGGAAAAACAAGGAAAATATATGATCAGTATGAGTCGAGGAGATATGGAAGGAACGAGGCATATCAAGATTTTAGAGCAAGGAGAGGGGGGGGGGGGGGGGGGGTGGAGTGAAAGGAAAAAAGGATTGAGGTTTGGAGAACAAGAGAGAGAGATGGAGAGCATAAGAGGGGATATGGGGAGACGTTAGGAATGAAGAGAGAATATCTGGCGCTCCTGCTACAGGCCCTTAATAAATTACTCACCCATCTTTTCTACTACATGTATATCTTGATCTGCTCCCTTCAAGAAGCACACATAGAGAACAACTCCTCGTTCAATCTGTAGATGAAATACAATACAAATATATATATCGTTCAATTTATATGCAAAATCTCATTCTCTGCCCTATGACATTTAATTGTTACACATGTTGTTATTGTTGTCTTCCTGTAATTGTGTCAATTATTTCTTGGTGTGTGTGTAAAGAGGGTCATTTGATCACAACACAATTTGGATGGCTGTACATGACTGGATGCTAGTATAGCTCATAAGAACATACGTGCATACTATTATATTGGTAGTTAAAGTAGGGAGTTGTGAATTAAATCACAACCCTGGTTATAAAGCTTGCTTACAACAAATGTTAGTATTACATTTTGTACCATTTTTTTTTATTACAAATAAAAAATAAAGAAAACAATAATTAATAACTTGAGCAGACCTCTACATATTCAGCCTCCACATCATCTGATGGCGGCTGGACTTGTAGCCTGGCAGACAGACACTGCTGAATCACAAGCTTGGCCGGAGGATTATTCCCACTGCTCTGCTTACCGTCCGCCATATTGCTAAAATTTTAGAAAAGTCACTTCACAGATGGGATGGAATTAGACTGAAGGCTTCAGTCTCTGAATCTGATATCGATGGTTGTTCCGCTGATCGAGATTACATCGCTGGCTCCTCTGTGTATGGGAAATGTTGACAAATGTCAGTTTTATTAAATGACCCATATACCAGACGGTTATTTCTGTCTATAGGTTGGAATCTACATACATGTATTAAAGGCCTGCATGAAACACATGCAGACATAAATTAAAACGGCATATGATTCTCATAAACTAGGGTATGGACTTTATTTAAATCTACCACTTTTATTCAAGCACATCTTCAGTTAAAAACAGATGACGCATGTATATCTTGAATTATGGAAGATTACATGATCATAAAAATGATGACTGGCCCTTGTACAAGACTAGAAATCTACACATGTCTTCTGTGCCAGTAAAATCTCAAAACACGACAGACATTTCTAATTTTCAATCAGCTGTGAGCACCCTACGTCTGTGGTTGTGGGTTTAAAAGGTAATAGATCGGAGGCTCTTGTGTTACAACCAATACGTCTGGGCTTATTATGTAATACTTCTAGGTACTTGGACTGTGCCCTCGCAGACGTGAAAAGCAAACAGTACCTCGATGTCCTTGAGCCGATCTAGCTAAGCGCTTTGTCCACGGTTGACAGGCCGAGACTCCGGGCTAACCGCGTTAGCAGTGTCACAGCTCCAACACGACGCTGTCTTCTCACACACCGGCTAAATAATTATCTGAAATTCATACGCTGATTAATCACTGAAAATGGCAGACGAGATGTCAAGTAAAGCAGAGGAGACTGTTCCAACACCCCAGCCCCATGACAGGTCCAGGCCTGATCCAGATGAAGAAGAGGATCCCGTGGATAAAATGATTAAAGATACGGGTTGCTTGGAGCTTCACTACGCTGTGCAGGTAAATGAAATCGGGGGGCGGATGATGCAATGCCCATGGCATCGATCGCCCGATGGCCTGGCCTGGCGGCCTGGGTGTGGTGGGTTGGTCGGTGGTAGGGGGATCACAGCTGATTTATGTGAAGAAAGAAACAATTTCCAAGGCGTTTCAAGGGCAAGTTGACAAACAATGCCATGGTATACCATACTCAAAAATTACAGGTTAAAGTACATTCATTTAAAAAATAGATAATTAAAGTCTTTTAAAATGTTAGCAAGGGGGGGGGGGGGGGTATGAGGGTAGCAATTTATCACGTACTACAGGCACTATCTATAGATGGCTGTAAGTCTTAATCTTTCAATCTGTACTACATTGCCATACAAAATTTGATTTATTTTCTATCTCTAATAGGCAACTCTTGACCAACAAAGGAAATGATCCTGTTGAGCGATCAAGCCACAATGTGTATAATGTTGTTTGGAGACGACCTTTCACAGAAGCAAAAAATGGTGTTCCAAACCAAACTGCTTTTCAAGGTGTTGATGTGGAAATGTTTCTCCTTTGATTTGTTTTCTAGGAATGCATGGCAGATAATAGTGACTGGAGGAAATGCCAGGACCAGGTAGCAGCATTCAAGAAGTGCATGGCAGACTACGCACAAAGCCAGATGGCTGCAGCGGAGTCTAGCTAGTATACCACATCAAACAACATTTTTTTACTGCAGGTTTGTTACAAGTAGTTTAACCTTTTATGATAAGAGTTGTACACAGGCTGGTTGTACATAGTTATTGTTTCTTGTACTCCATGCATCCAAAATGAGAAGCTTGAATATTGTGTCTGTCTTGTCTTAGAGAGAGTTCTTTTTGTTTCTATAATAATATATTTGATCATTTTGATGCATGTGTGAAAATCAGATATCAAATCAAATAATTTGACAATCACCAAATTTTTACTGGCATATATTACAAACTCATATGCCTTGTATATTTTACATGAACCATTTATGTATATGGCCACTGTGGCTAAAGGTAATACAAAGTTTTTGGAAATTTTGAAAATTTGGTGGATAATGATTCTTTACAATTTTGATATTTTTGGATGCCCCTGTGGATGTATTCAAAGCACTAGAAAATTTAGCCCCTAAAACACTTCTGCTTTCGAGAAAAATTTAATTAAAAATTTACCGGTGCTCCCGGTAAATTTTTGTAAATTTTTATAAATTTCAAATAGCGCCTACGGCCGTACAATGGTAGCTGCGACATGAAAATTTCAGAATATGTAGTTGTGATATGTAATTTCCAAACGGGAATAGCTAATCGGTCGATTTTAGTAAAGAAACATTGTTTTATAGCTTTCATAACTTTACACTTGATTTCAACCGTGACAACGATCACTGAATATTGTAGGATCGCATATGCTTCCAATATGTTCATTTGAACCAAATTCATGACCCCATACCAAAACTTTGTATTACCTTAAGATCAGCAATCAGCATATACATGTAATTTAGTTTGGAACTTTCTCTCCTGTATAAGCAATTGATTTATTGCAGTTAATTGATAATCAATACACACTTCTTTTACTTCTTGAAAATTGATAAAAGTAATTTGTGTGTCGTTTTGAATGGGGCTACCTAGTAAATGAAGGAGAATGAATAATCCTGAAAAACAGTCTCAAATTTACTGTGTATATCTTTACTAAATAGTATTACTTTCTTATTTATTCTGTCCGACAGATTTCTTATTCATGACAGCAAAACTGTACCTCAAAGGACGTACTGAGGACCAACCTATCTATGTGGCTGTTTCTTGGACAAAACTAGTTTGTGTGTGATAGATGATGTATACAATGTCTAAACTAATAATGTATTCAAATTGATGAGAAATGTAATAACAGAAAACTTTAATACCACCAACATAAAAGTGCCTCCAGCAATGTGCAGTGATTTAATTTGATGTTTTATAGCTGCTGTTGTTTAAATTGTCGGAATTGAGTATGATGTCAAAGCTAATTAGCTTGTGGTTTTCATAATGAATAATGACTATCTGTTTAATCTGCAGATATATTGTATTTATGAATGCTTAGAAATATGAAAGAAAAACCCAAATTGAAAGAGCTGTTTTATCATCACTATGTATTTGTATCAATAGACTTCAGAAAATAATGGTGTTTCAACTTTCAAATGGTGCTTCACTTACTTTAATCAAAATCACATAAAGTTGTGTTTTAATTCATAAATGATTATGCTTGCTATGAAATAGCTCATTATATGCAAATATGTACAATGAGGATGTCACAAGACACAATGTGACATAGAAAAATTTACCATGTTCTACAACAGGACCAGTGTAAAATGTAAATTAGTCTCATGGACTACACTTGCATTGAATGTCTACGAGGAAAACAAATATATTTGGAGAGTGCAAATAATATTTGGTGTTGTAAACACCTGCCATTCTCAAAGTGATGCTTTTTTTTTAATATCAGAAGGAATCAAAGATGTCATATATACACTGTATTTACTGTATATCTTTTATTAATTACATTTTCTATATTTGTCTCATGCAGCTTGCAGAATTTTTATGAAAATGTCATCAGGTAAATAAAACAATTGCTCTGGAATTGAGCATAAAATATAAACATCTCTCTTTCTTTGTCATTATGTCGGATGGTTCTCTTGTATGATGTTCATTGCATTTAAATTGATTTAAGAGTATGTATTAATATGTTAAGGGACAGAAGGATGTTGTCTGTATGTTAAATAATGTAGTTATAAAAAGTCCTTCTGGCTTTTGGCAGATATGAAAAGGTGTAAGTCAAGGTCATGTATTGAGTTTATTTTACACTATGTGTTTCTAAGTACATGTATCTGTGTAGACAAAGACCAAATTATCCTAGTGAAATTGGGATGCAAATCCTGGGTGCTCAAATCCTACGTAAAAGAACCTTGTCTTTCGCTTGTAGTATGCTCAGAAGCATATTTATCATGAGGCAAAATTGGTCATGACAGACAATAGTGCTCCCTATCAAGTAAAAAATAAAATGAAATAAAACTAATGATCAACAGCCGTAGTCTCGGGCTACCAAAAGATTCAGATGACTCGACTAGATACATACTAGGAGACCGACACTCATTAAACTAATATGATCCCAAAGTGAGCTATTACAAAGGCCTTCCCCCTTACCGGTGTATAGAAAAGTGGGATGATAATAACAGTTTCTTAAAAAGTGCTTTACCAGTTAAACGTGTACCCGACCGAAGCATTCACAGTATTATTACCCCAGTCGATGCATTCTGTTACGATTCTGCACAGAGCACACTCTCTTGGGAAGCATTCTACCAGTAGCCAGTCGCCCTTTCAAGGGACGCACATGCTAATTCAACCACAATGACATTTGCATCATACAGTGTGTATCCATTCAACGCCTGGGTGGAGAGGAGCAATGTAGATAAAAAGGCCTTGCTGGGTATTGAACCCACAACCTTTTCCAGTCATTTCCAGTCATTAGACCCAGTTGCGTACGCAGGATTTTTTCAAGGGGGGGTTTAAAATTTTGAAATCGGGCCAAAAACTGTGCAACGACTCAGCCAGCCGCTGAATAAGCGGAGGGGGGGGGGGGGAGGGGTAAGAGGACATTTTTTTTAGGTCAGCCATGGGTATAATTTTATTTATTTTTTATTTTTTTATCATTAAAAAAAAAAAAAAAAAAAAAAAAACCCAAGGGGGTGGGGGTTCAACCCCCAACCCCCCCCCCTGTGTACGCGCCTGATTAGACCACTTGACTACGACACCTCTACAATATGATACAGGATGTAAAGGATATGATTTTTTGACATCCTTGACTTTCACAGGTCATTTTTTTTTTTTAAATCTAAAAGGAAAAGGAAAATATCACACAAACATTTTTTTCAATCAGAGAAGGAATTTATTATGAATATCAAATAGCATGAATCGTAATGATAAAATGGTCAGAAAACTCTGTCTTCCTTCATATTCTTTTGAGGGACATGTGATTTTTAAATAACATAAAGGTCTACTTTAATACAAGGTCTGGAGATTTAAACTACCACTATACTTCAATTATGACTTTATGTGCAACACCCGATTGTTTTTAATTTAATAATTCAATGAATAAAGTGAAACGTCTCATATTTCATATGACCATATTCTGCACTTTGTAGAGACAATCACAAAATAACACATCAATTTGAAATTTGTCCATAATTTCATTTATAAAATTTTCCCCTAGATATTTTCTATTTTCTGTTTGAACGGATGGGACCAGTAAACGTACATCAATTTATTGCCTAATTATTGTGATAATTTCTTCATTCATTTTTCATAACCCTTCTGCTCCGCCCCCCCCCCCCCCCCCCCCCCCCCCCCCCCCCCAGAAAAGAAAGAAACGAAGATAAACTACCAGTACATATGAACCGGTATTGCAATAAATTGTTGACAAATTTAATGAGCGTTGTGTCCTTCTGTTCCAATTTTAATTCCATTTAACAAAATTGCATTTAGGCATACATCTGATAAAATTCTACAAACATTTATTTCCATATGAAAAATAAAGAGAGAGATACCACATGTATTTTGTTGAATCATGATGAAAGCGGCATCAGGAAACTAAATCAGAAATAGAATAAAAACTAAATTTGATTATATGACATATCAATAAGTAAATGTAAAACCAAAGAAATCAGATATTTACATAAAACTATAAACTGGGCAAGCACAACATTAATCATCAATAAGACAATAAGAATTCTTCAAATGTCTTTATTCTCCCTTCTCTGGT